TTGCCAGGTTTTCACAACAAAACCCGCCCAATTGCTACTCAAAACTAGCCCAATTTTGCGTTCAAAATCGCGTTCCAGGGGGTAAAATACACGTTTTTTTGGAGAGGTTCCCCAAACCGCGGACTTGGCAATTCGCAAATGCAATTAATCGTTCATCCCTAATTTGGAACGACATGAGGGTGAGTAATTAATGACAGAATTTTCATTTTTGGGTGAACTATCCCTTTAACACACAGATTATATGTGGGGAAAAAAGAAAGGGTAAAAAATTTGGGAAAAAATGGTGTATCAGAGCTGCTTTCTATTCTGAAGATCCTGTCTAAGCAAGCTCCAGAGACTTCAAAATGTTGAAGCAGGTCTCACACTGTCTGCTGCACAGATTCCCCTAAGGCAACTTCCCCTAAAACAAATTACTGTAAAACATTTTCATTAGGTAGCTTGTTCTACCTTTGAGAGAAGACATCAGGATGATCACACTGAAAAACATGGAAGTTAATTTCAATCACACACACATTTGGGCATTTTCAAGTGGGAATGATCAAAACAATAGTCAGCCTTGGAGAACTGGTCTAAAGGAGCACTTACAGAAGACAAGAGCTCACTGTGTCCTGCAGGGCACTTTCTATCTGCAAACTCAAGTGGCAGAGTGGCAGTGAAGTAATGCGAGTCAAACCATTCCACACAGTAACGCTTTCCTATTAAACTCACCAAAGATGAAATGTTTTTTAACACAAGAGGCTGCCGGCCCTGAAATCAACAGCACAGACCATATGCTTCTGCAACTCTTCCATCCTGAAGAGAGATTTTAGAGAAATGAAATGATGGTCTACTGGAGGACTGGCGCATCACAATTAGACAAAGCATTCACGTTTGCTTTCACATGTGGTATTCAATCAATCTGTGGGTTCACCACATACAGACTAAGAGATCGCATATATAAATATACAGTATATGCGCATATATAAATATTATTTGATTATTTATGCCCTTTATGCGCACAAAGTGTTTTTTTTATCATACAATTACAAAAAATAAGGGTTATAGTAAATAATTTTCATATGCTTTACACAAAGCTATTGTATGACCACTTTGCTATGCTTTTGGCCATTGCTATTGGTGATTTTGGTCTATGGAATAGACCTAAACATCACTGCAAAGATAATTTACAATTCTACTTCTGTTTTCAATGAATTTCAGCATAAAGGTTTGTGACGACCTGAGACTAGTTAGTAATGACTGAATGTACATTTTTGAGTGAACTACTAAATGCTTTACACACAGTCCTTGGTTTCAAGCAGGGGCAAGTCATGCAGGAATGCTTAGTCACTGGGAGGATGAACAAATTGCCAACTGACAGGAAAATGCTGATAGAAATGCACTCAGTGAATCATAAAGCAGAGAGCTCTCCACTGTTTGCTTAGTCACTGACACAAGAAGATTCTGGTCTACCACAAGTTTATTTTAACAGATGTATAAAAACAAATCTATGAGGTTTGTCTAATAGAGCACTCAATAAATAAATAAATAAATTTTCTGCACCACTATGAATCTACAGTACAATAGCAAAGAAAATTATATTTGATCAGAGGTTTGTATCTGAAGTCTGAATTGAATTTGATGGAAGAAAAACACACACACGCAGAACAATGGAATCATATAGATGGACAATAAATAGCAGGCCTCCAGACTTATATAGGCTAGCCGATTTATAGGCAGGCACATCTGTAGGCAGCTAAGCATTCTTGCGAAACACCGGAGAATCTCGGAGAGATTCGAGCAAACATGAAATGTGTGTGTGGGTCCGACAATAGCATCCACGATGTCATCGCTCGTGGCCAGTGCACTCTAAAGCAGTTATGAGCAGCAGGCTGTGTAATATGTGTGAACTCTTTTTATTTTTGTTATCACTTGGCCATTTGACTTATAGCAGTGTCCAGTGTTTCCCATACATTGAGTTATTAC